TTTGTTTTTTGATTGGTTTTTTTTTTTTGAGACGAGTCTTCCGTGTTGCTCAGGCTAATCTCAAATTCCTGGGCTCAAGCAATCCGTCCGTCTTGGCCTCCCAAAGTGCTATAATTTTTATTACCTGGAACAGGAACCACAGGCCAAGCATGGGCCATCGCATCCTTCCTATGGCTCCTTTTTGGGGTAATAAAAGTATTCAAAAAATATTCTAAAATTGGTTTCAATGATGGATGCACAACTCTGTGAATATACTAAAAAGCACTGAAGTGTATACTTAGATGGGTGAATTATACGGTATATGAGTTATATCTCAATAAAGCTATTTTTAAAACCTGCCTGTTTCTTTTCTCTCTGTCACCAACTAGAAAGTAAGCTCCATGAATGCATAAACTTCTGTTTTGTTTAGCACAATGCTTAGAATATCAGAGAACCTCAAATATAGGGAAAGGAAGAAGGGAGAGAGGGAAGGGAAAGAAAGGATGAATGGAGGAAGGTAAGAAATGAAAGGATGGAGGGAGGAAAGAAGAGACGAAGAGAGGAAGGAAAGAATACAGGGAGGGAGGGGAGAAGGAGGATAGAGGTAACTGCCAATGAAGAAACACCTAGAGATCACCCAGCTAACAGGTCCTCAGAGATGTAAATTATGCACTTGAGACAGACGACAGTTTGTTTTGTTTTTTTTTAAAGACAGGGTCTTGCTCTGTTGCCCAGGCTGGAGTGCAGCGGCGTCATCACAGCTCACTGAAACCCTGACTCCCTTTGCTGAAGCTTCCCCCTACTCGGCCTCTCAAGTAGCTGGGACTACAGGCATGTACCACCACACCTGGCTCATTTTTTTTTTAAGTAGAGACTAGGTCTTGCTGTGTTGCCCAGGCTGATTTCAACCCCCAGGGCTCAAGCAATCGTCTTGCCTCAGCCTCCCAAGGTGCTGGGATTACAGGCAGGAGCCACTGTGCCCAGCCAGAAGACAGACAGAGCTGTCTCTTTGGAGCTCTTCAAATCTTTCAAGTCTTCAAATCTTTTCCTGTGAGGCCTTTAGGTGGGAACCTTTAAAATAGAATTCTACTTATACCCTCAACAGCTTCTAATCACACTAAGAAGAAAATGCAAACCTCCTTATCTTGGCTTACATAATCCGACCCTGCCTACTGCTTCCACTTTTTCCTTCTTGGAGCCCAGAGCCCACCACACCCTTCCCACTGCCTGGCTCTGGCAAAGGCCACCCGCTGACCTTCATGTCTCACCAGGCAGGTCTCCGGGAGCTATCCCACTCTCTACCCTCCTCCTCTCCATTCTTCCCCCCTTCCCTCCACTCTCCCCCTCTTTCACAGTCTTCCTAACGCTCACTTTGCTATTTTCTTACATGTGTATTGTCTACCACCCCCTCTAAAATTAAGTCCCATAAGAACAAGGACTTATCTGTCTTGTTCACGCCTATATCCCTCCGGCATAGAAGAGGGCTGCCATAAGTCTGTGCTATTTGTAGAACAAAGACACAGAAGTTCCAAATTTAGGAGACGATTCAGGAAGAGAGAATGCTACAAAGACTGAGCAGTATTTCTAGAAGAGCACCTGCTCACAGTTACAGAACCCCTCACCCACCTCCCCAACTTGGCAGTTCCTTGAAAACAGGGATGGGCAGCATTTATCCTTTAGGACCAACACCAAACATGTGCTGACTGAATGGGGGGTCAGTTTTTGTTGAATTTGTGATATTTATCTTCACAGACTCCTTCTCTAATAACTACTGCTGTGTGCTTTAAAACAAAATGTTTTGCCAGGCGCGGTGGCTCACTCCTGTAATTCCAGCACTTTGGGAGGCCAAGGCGGGTGGATCACGAGGTCAGGAGTTCGAGACCAGCCTGGCCAACATAATGAAGCCCCATCTCTACTAAAAATACAAAAATTAGCCAGGTGTGGTGGCATGCGCCTGTAGTCCCAGCTACTCGGGAGGCTGAGGCGGGAGAAACGCTTGAACCTGGGAGGCAGAGGTTGCAGTGAGCCAAGACCACACCACTGCACTCCAGTCTGGAAGACAGAGTGAGACTCCATCTCAAAAAAAAAAAAAAAAGTTTCACCATGTTGCCCAGTCTGGTCTCAAACTCCTAAGCCCAAACAATCCACCTGCTTCGGCCTCCCAAAGTGCTCGAATTACAGGCGTGAGTGACTGTACCCAGCCCCAGGCACAGATGTTCTTAATGTGACCTGCCCAGAATGATGACTCCTTCTCAAAAGGTTTACAATTTACTTTGCTTAGATCTGAAGAATCATTATCTATGGCAGCTATATCCTCAAGAAATGTAATTCTTAAATAATAAGACTTGAAAGTTGAAATTAGCCAGGCATGGTGGCACACGCCTGTAATCCCAGTTACTGAGGAAGCTGAGGCAGAAGACTCTCTTGAATCTGGGAGGCAGAGGTTGCAGTGAGCCGAGATCCCGCCACTGCACTCCAGCCTGGGTGACAGAGCAAGACTTTGTCTCAAAAAAGCAAAAGCTGAAATTACTCCTTGGTCCAGGGGCTGCAGAACAAATGTTGTTAGAGGGCATGAAAACAACATTCATCTGCTTGTACGCCTCCAACAAAGCACTTGGCTGATCAGGTACATCGTCAATAAGCAGTAATATTTTGAGAGGAATCTTCTCTTCTGAGCAGTAGGTCTCAACAGTGGGCTTAAAATAGTCAATGAGCCATGCCGTAAACAAATGTGCTATCATCCAGGCTTTGTCATTCCATTTCTAGGGCCCAGGCAGAGTAGATTTAGCATGATTCTTGAGGGCCACAGGGTTTCTGGAATGGTAAATGAGCACTGGCTTCCACTTCAAGTCATTAGTTGTGTTAGTCAATAACAAGAGTCGGCCTGTTCTTTGAAGGTTTAAAGCCAGGCATTAACTTCTCTCTAGCTATAAAATTCCTAGATGGCATCTTCCAATGTAAGACTGTTTGGTCTACATCGAAAACCTGTTGTTCAGTGCAGCTACCTTTGTCAATTGTAATAATCAGATCTTCCGGATAACTTGCTGCAGCTTCTCCATCAGCACTTGGCTGTTTCACTTGCACTTTGATGTCATGGAGATGTTTTCTTTCCTTGATCCTCACGAACCAACCTCTGCTAGCTTCACATTTTTCCTCTAAAGATTCCTCACGTCTCTCAGCCTTCACAGAATTGAAGAGAGGGCCTTGCTCTGGATTAGGCTTCAGAGAATGTTGTGGCTGGTTTGATCTTCTATCCAGACCACTAAAACTTTCTCCGTATCAGCAACAAGGTTGTTTCACTTTCTTACCATGAGTGTGTTCCCTGGCGTAGCTCTTTTGAGTCCCTTCAAAAACTTTTCCTTTGCATTCAGAACTTGGCTGTTTGGTACAAGAGGCATAGCTTTCAGCCTATCTCAGCTTTCTTCATGTCTTCCTTGCTAAGCTTAGTCATTTCTTTATTAGTCATTAGCTGGGTGTGGTGGTGCATGCCTGTAATCCCAGCTACTTGGCAGGCTGAGGAAGGAGAATTGCAAGAACCCGGGTGGCAGAGGTTGCAGTGAGCCGAGATCGTGCCACTGCACTCCAGCCTGGGTGACAGAGTGAGACTCCATCTCAAAATAAATAAATAAGTAAATAAAGTGAGAGACATGCATCTCTTCCTTTCACTTTAACACATAGAGGCTATTGTAGGGTCATTAACTGGTCTAATTTCAATATTGCTGTGTCTCAGGAGAAGAGGGAGGGAGATGGGGGAATGGCCTGCAGTGGAACAGTCAGAACACACACAACACTGATCAGTTAAGTTCATCACCTTATATGGATCCAGATTGTGGTGCCCCAAAACAATTGCAATAGTAACATCAAAGATTACTGATCACATCTTGTAACAGATGTTATAAGATTATAACAGATGTCATAACGATGAAATGTTTGAAGTATTGTGAGAATTACCAAAATGTAACAGAGAGACACAAAGTAAGTGACCACACGCTGTTGGAAAAGTGGCACGGATAGAAAGACTTGCTCGATGCGGGGTTGCCACAAGCCTTCAATTTGTAAAAAAAAACCCCGTGTTTGTGAAGCACAGTAAAGAGTAAGAAGGCAGGGCATGGCAACATATCCAGACCAAAGCACTGCCTTGCTTCTGCTTTACGCAAACTTACTGCAAATCTGGAGCATCTAATGCTCCTATGACTGGACAATTTTAGGCCCTTTCTGGATTACAAAGTCAGCATGGGATGCTCAATGCAAAAGTTTTAACAACAGATAAAATGCTGTAAGGCAATCTTAACAATTTATCAATTCACAAAGCAAAACAAGGGTGACAGAGATTAATTTCTCATCTCTCCTTCCTCAAATCTAAATGATACTGCAGATCACTAGCCTGTCATGCTTAAATAGTGTCACCTGCAACTGAAATGTGCTTAAGTAATTTACAATTTTTACAAAATACAGGGTTGTATACTTATTCCCCCATTTGGACTACTCTAAGGAAAACCACCCATGTAAGTTAGTGCAAGAGCCGGACACTATAAGCAAGAGCCTAGCGATAACCAGGGCTCATCTGTGACAACCATCACTGGCCCTGCCACTCACTCATACCACAAGAACAGGAAAACTTTAGAGCTGGATCACAGAAACAGTAACCAAGGTCAACACTGCCTTCTATTTTCTTGCCCATGAAAACATACTGATTGAGTGAGAAAGCTCAGGCCTGGAGACAGGATAGGAATTGCTGCCACTGTCCAGGATCACATACACATCAGTGGCAAGGCCAGGAATAGACTCAAAATTCCCTGTGCACCTTTTCACCACCTCCCTTCCTCTGGTGACCTTTTTTTTTCTTCCTCCCTCGCAGCTCCTCCTTTATTTTCTTCCTTTTCTTGCCTGTGGTAACCTACAGAGAGTACTGGATATCAGTTAGGGCTAAACAGGTGGGTAATCTCTAGACTAGATCTACTCAAAATCTATTTTAAAATAAAATGGAATGTTCCCAACATCTTACTCGTTGACTTCCATGTCCTGGTCATCAGAAGACTCATCTTCTCCTAGGACATTTTCAGAATCTGGTTTCCGAATGAGAAAGAACAGAACTGTCCCCACAAGGCTAATCACCGTCAGCGCAATAAACACTGTTCTTCGGTCACTCTCTAAGGAGAAAAAAGAAGAAACTAGATAGTATTGACCAAACAATTCCAGAATTAGTATCATGGTACAAGAGATGCTTATAACTGTCAACACACTTTCTTGTTAAATTTTTACTTTAATGCACCAGTAAAAACTTAGGAAAAGGAGATATATAGGATACCTTCACCTTTGTCTTTCAGTTAGAGAAATACGAATAAGCAAAGAAAAACAGCACAAGAGCTTAATCGCCTTCTTTTAATCAAAGAAGGGTCCAGAGAAAACAACTGAGCATTCAGAAGTCTTCTGAGAACCATATACTCGTGCGCAGTATTCTCGTACGCTTGTGCAGAGCATAACCTCCCCTTAGAGCCTGAGATGCCACTTAAAGCATAGTCATAACCTATAATCCTAGTTTAATAATAGAAACCAAGCTGGGAGCGGTGGCTCAGGCCTGTAATACCAGCACTTTGGGAGGGTGAGGAGGGCGGATCACCTGAGGTCAGGAGTTTGAGACCAGCCTGACCAACGTGGAAAAACCGTCTCTACTAAAAATACAAAATTAGCTGGGAGTGGTGGTGCAGGCCTGTAAACCTAGCCACTTGGGAGGCTGAGGCAGGAGAATTGCTTGAACCCAGGAGGCAGAGGTTGCAGTGAGCCAAGATAGCGCCATTGCACTCCAGCCTGGGTAACAAGAGTGAAACTCTGTCTTAAAAAAAATAATAATGAATAATATAAACCAAGGAAAAGGCTTACTAAAAGCTAAAATCTGCAAGAACTTGAGGTGTCAGGGTTCATGAGAACAATGCTTGAATAAAGCAACAATGGGTATTTCTGTATAACTCTTATTATGCTTTGAACATATCTGAATAAAGCAACGTGGATAAAACATACCTGATATCTGAGTTTTCCCTTGCCAGGCAAAATATATGTAGAGATTTCCAAAGAACAAGCTGGGGGAAGAAAAGGGAGGATAGGATGTTGGGAAATTATTTTAATATTTATGGTTTTTTAAAAATAATTATTCCCATTATTTGTTGTAAGAGAGGGAGAGAGAAGGACATCATTTTTAAAGTATCTACCTGTCCTGGATCATTTAAAAGTATCAACTTCATCTGGACTCTGATAAACTTAATTGCCCCAGATGGAATTCAGACTCCTTCCACGTGACAGTAACCTGATTCAGAGGCACCCTTCAAAGAAGAATTGACTCACTTTGAAACATGTGATTTACTGCAACTCTGGAAATGACTCCCTGGAAATAAGCTTAAGCTAAATTTTAAAGAATCTGTTTCCAAAAATCCATGATTTAGTTATCTGCATCTAATCAGATACTTTCTTTAGCATACTTTCCTGAAGAATCATTCACTTACACACTAGTTTCTTAATATATAACCCTTTAAAATGTAATATTTGCATTTGTTAAGCCTTGTCAAGGCCAAAATTTTAGGCACGGTTCATGAGGGTAATTCCTCAGGAGAGATTCCAGAAATCCAACAGTCAAGAGCAGAATAGCCATTTTGCTTTCTTCTTAAGAAAACATTAAGGCCAAACGTGGTGGTTCACGCCTGTAATCCCAACACTTTGGGAGCCCAAGGCGGGCGGATTACGAGGTCAGGAGTTCGAGACCAGCCTGGCCAACATAGTGAAACCCCATCTCTACTAAAAATACAAAAAAAAAATTAGCCGGGTGTGGTGGTGGGCACCTATAATCCCAGCTACTCAGGACGCTAAGGCAGGAGAATTGCTTGAGCCTGGGAGGCAGAGGTTGCAGCGAGCCGAGATCACGCCATTGCACTCCAGCCCAGGTGACAGTGTCAGACACCGTCTCATTAAAAAATATATATATATATATATGGGCCGGGCACGGTGGCTCAAGCCTGTAATCCCAGCACTTTGGGAGGCCGAGACGGGCAGATCACGAGGTCAGGAGATCGAGACCATCCTGGCTAACATGGTGAAACTCCATCTCTACTAAAAAACACAAAAAACTAGCCAGGCGAGGTGGTGGGCGCCTGTAGTCCCAGCTACTCGGGAGGCTGAGGCAGGAGAATGGCGTAAACCCGGGAGGCGGAGCTTGCAGTGAGCTGAGATCCGGCCACTGCACTCCAGCCTGGGCGACAGAGCGAGACTCCGTCTCAAAAAAAAATTTTTGTATGCTATATTCAGTATTGGTATAAATAATCCTGAGTAGCTAGTGAGCCAGCATACTCAGCCATCATTACAAGCAATTCTATAAAATTGGAATCATGTCACATTTAGCTAGAACTTAAGTCACGTAACATGGAAGATCCAAATTGTCAAAGACCTAAAAAATGGTATGACAAGAAAAAAAGAAAGACAGACTGAACTTCAAAAGGGGAATTACCTAGACTGCAGAAGTGCCCAGAAAATTCCACTGTTTCTCCCAATGGTGTGCTCATCCGAATTTATTGTCAGGCAGTTTCCTTGTGCTGTCCAAAGCACTAAAATTCAACCCAAAAGTTTATCAAGAGAAAGAAATTCACTTAAGAGTTACATACTAAACACATAAATAATACCCTTAGATAGGCCCCAGAAAAGAAAGCAGATAAGTTAAAAATCAAAATGCTTACCAGCAGCAGCAATTCCAATGAAAACAGAGGCTGTGTAGAAGGACCATGGGAAAGGCTGGATAAAAACGGCAATGTACATGCTAAAATATAACAGGTCAAGGTATTATAGTCAAACGATACCTGAAATAGAGTGCCAATTATGCCTTCTAGGAATCAGTTCTGACATTCTCTTCTTTTAAAACTCAACCTATAAAGGATCGCTCCAGTTTTGAAAAACGGAACACAATCAAGTTTCTCATTTCTTATTTAATTAATTTTTTTGAGACAGGGTCTCACTCTATTGCCTAGGCTGGAGTGCAGGGGCACCATCACAGCTCACTGCAACCTCCACCTCCTGGGCTCAAGTCATCCTCCCACCTCAGCCTCGAAAGTAGCTGGGACTACAGGCATGTGCCACCACACCCAGCTAATTTTTTTTTTATTTTGGTAGAGACGGGGTTTCACCATGTTGCCCAGGCTGGTCTCGAACTCCTGGACTCAAGTGATCCTTGGCTCAAGCAATACCTTGGCCTCCCAAAGTGTTGGGATTTACGGGTGGGAGCCACTGTGCCTGGCCCATAATTTATTATTTCAAATTTGTAAAATCAGACATTTTACAGGTTTGCAGTGTTCTTTGCCAAGAGCTTAGCACATCATGGAACTATAGTTCTAGAGTTCAGAGAAACATTTAGTTATTTCATTTGAATCTCCACTTATTTTCAGTCAACTGACAGAAAATAAGATTATTTCATAGACGGTTCTTTTCAACCCCCATAGAAAGAGACTTTTGGATACTATTTTTATTCGTGAAACAAAAGCAGATATAGATACATCCTATCACATTAGAATATGATATCCCTCAGCAACAAGTACTGAGCCAAAATTCCTAAAACACCATCTATATTTTATTCAGTCCAAGTCTATAAATTACTGTGAAAAGTTTACTATCTACTTGAAAGATCCTGAAAAGTGTTCTAATTAAATAAGTGCAAGATTACACTACTCACCTGTAAAATAAACCACTGGCAAACATAGAGAGTTGAGGTCCTACAATGGCAACCACTGACGGTGTAATCAAATTTGAAGCAGAGAACACTCCGTAGATAATAGCCATGCTGCACATATGATACACAAATCGGAAAAAAAAAAAAAGAACAAAGCCTTTGTACACTGTGTCACTTTTTAAAATCCATCTGAGTTTACAGATTTTACAATAAACACTCATATTCTTTAGTCAGAATTTATGATAGTCATATCATTAAATTCAACACCATATAAAAGTTTTCATTTGTACAAAATATTGAAGCCCCCCAACTGTGCCTTGGGATCCGTTTGCCTACAACAATACATTTTTTACATACTGGTAAGTCATAGTAATAGGAACTGTGCCAAGTACCTTATACATATTTTCTCTTTTAATCCTAGCAGCACTACAAAGAAGATATTGTTATTATCCTCATGTTAAAGAACAGAAAAAGGAAATACAGTGGGGTTAAGTAATTTGCCAAAAGTCCAGCTGGGTGGCTGGTGAATGTCCAGCCAGGATTGCACGATTCCAGAGGCCCTAGTCCACCAATCTACCCTACAAACTTAGCATAGAACTCCTGGCAGCTTCATGACATTTCTCTGCTATAAATAACAGCACAGAGTTACAACTTGCTTGAGCCAGAATTTATTTAACTCAACCTAATGGTCTCACTTGAACATTACTCAGTTACTACTGACCCAGCCCTAGTACATACGTCTTGAATGAAGTGTGACTAAAACCATTTCAAAGGCCCTGAATTCATTTACTAGACACTATTCATAAATCCAAAGTAAATTATTCTTTGGTTTTTACGAATCTCTCAAATATCAAATGTGTTTTTGCATTTGTTCTTTAGAACACACATGAAGACAAAGAAGTACAAAAAGCTGTGCTACTAATCACTTAGAAAAACGGACAGTAACATCCCTTCATTCTCAAATATGACATACAAGGCTTAGGATAGGGATAAAGAACCAAGTATAAGTTACGGATTTGTTGGGGGTTGAGGGGGGTGCCATGATCCAATCTCTAACTCTAGAGAAATTAGGAACCTGTTTCTATAGCTCAATGTAGCCATTCCATGGCACGTATTTCAAAATATGTTGTGCACAACAAATAATATGCAATTTTCATTTGTCAATTAAAAAATCTAATTTTAAAAAAGAAAAACCTGTTTGTGCATATATATCGGTACATATTACATTCCCAGCTCCAATCACAAGGTTCTAGTGACTTATGAAGATCTTTTCATTTTACCCATCTATAAAATTGGGACTAAACACCTTAACAAAAATCTAAAAGCTCCTGACATACGTATATTAATCGTTATGAAATTACAAAACCAGAAGAACCAAATGTTCAAGAATCACAACATCTTCTGTTCAGGACTAGGAATTCTAATCATGACAATACTAGAGTGCTTATTCAATGCTACGCACTGTGCCCAGAGACGCATTGTCTGAGCTAGGAAATTGGGCTCGTGGAAACACTTGCCTAAGATAACAGTACAATAAATACCTTGTAAAGTCAGGATTTCAAACCTAGCGTCTAATTCCACAGGAAACCTAAACTCATCAACTTTATTCTATTGCGTTCTCTCAGTCTAGGTACGGAGAAGAGAAAATGCAGTCACCACTAATTCAATCGCAATATTCTATTGCTGGTGATTCTGATCAGATTTAAGCAACTACTGTTAAATATAAAACAAAATCAATCATACGGTACAATACCTGGTATATCCACTGCCGTGAAAATCTGTGCTATTTAAACTCCTGATGACAGTTTGCTGTGTGGAAGATAAAACTCATCAACGAAAACGTTTTCCAGTCTCCCTCCCCCACTTCGGAAGTGTGACTCCAAGTACTCAGCAAGAGAATAAAGTAAAAGTTCATAATGTACCTAACACTGAAGTCCATTATGAGAAAAGAAAAAGGACAACATAACTGGAGAAGGCAAACCAATGACAGGGACGGGGGAGGACAACCAGCTGTAACTACGCCTTGGGTTTCCTTCCTTAACCATCCAAGTACTAAGGAAGAGCTTAATGCAGACAAGAAATAAAATAGGTTAACATCCAAATCCCTAATCAAATCAGATAAACGGTAATGCTTAACTCCCCCATATAAGAGAATGTCTGACACAAGAAATCAAACCTAATCATAACAAATGAGGAAGCCTGGGTGGGAAAAATAAAAGATGCAATTAAAGCGCGCTATTAGATATAATTAACGTTTATTATCATTTCTGTAATGCATTATGATGGGCACTTCAAAGGAGGGAGGACAGATTCCAACTCACCGCCACATTTCCACAAGTTTGAAAGGCAGTGAACATAAACATAAAGGCAACTCCTAAAATAATGATGTTGAAAAGCTTTTTAGATTCCGGGGACATTTTGGCTCAGCTCTGCCGGAGGCAGCAGCCCAGGGCAGTCAGCTCTCCTCGGGGCGAAGCCACTGACAATCCTGGAGAAAGAAATGAGATGGTGAGTGGAGAAGGCAGATGCAGGAGCCAGGCAGCCAAGCTGTCAACTTCCAGTTCCTGGATCAGAATCCCAGGTTTAGGGCGCAGTTCTCCCCACCGGCAGTTAGAATATTTCTAAGAAGCGATCCGAGTACGGAAGAGCACAACCCCCGGCGAAGCCCCAAGAACGTGGCCGCTCCAGCTTGAGGGGCCCACGAAGGGGATTAAAGGGCCAAGGGCGAGCCCCAGCAGCCGGCGCGGCCCCGCCCTCCCGGCCTCACTCACTGCGGTCAGGCGACCGGGTCACCTGACCGCAGCATCGGCGCCGTCCGCTCAGCCCGCTGGGAAACGTAGTCCCGGATGGCCTGGCACGCGCAGGGGCTCCGCGAGGACTCCCCACCGCCAGGACGCAGAGCCGACTGAGCTCGCGAGCTCTGGCGACAGGGAATTGGGAAGCAGACCCCGGCGAAGAGTAGTCAGGAGCTGTTGGACGGGGCCGAGAGACGACGTAGCGGAGTCTGAAGGGGCCGGGGTCACAGGGAGAGAGGCATATGAGGGCAGAAGCACCCTTCTCACAGACCGGGCTGACGGCTGAGCAAAAAAGGGGCGTGAACTTTGAGTATTGGCATGAAAAGAAGGTGGAGCCCAGATGGGGAGCACCTCCTCTTCCTCCTGCCCGAGCGCGGTCGTCCGGCCTCCCAGGCGGAAAAAGCGTTTCGCGGGCTTTCCAACTGCCCGCTAATTCTGCTCCCCCTCCCTCCAGCCGTGACTCCGCGCTTTTTGGCCCGCCCGCCGGGCTGTGCGCAGGCGCTTCGGGTAGGGGCGGGGCGCGCGTCATGGACGTTACTGGGGGGGCACGGCAGGCCAATCAGAGGATTTCATTTCCGGGTGGCGCGGGCGCCATTTTGTGAGGAGCGATATAAACGGGCGCTGGGGCCGGCCACCCGCTCAGTTGTTGCTCAGGTGCGCTCGCTGGCGGAGCTTGTCTGCCCTGTTTTGCTACAAGGCCTTTCCCAGCGTCCCCACGCGGAAAGCAACTGCCTCAGAGGCGCGGCGTCGCACCGCCCGGAGCTGAGGAAGTCGGCGCCAGTTCGTGGGGCTCCGGGCCGCCAGTCAGAGCCATGAGCTACGGCCGCCCCCCTCCCGATGTGGAGGGTATGACCTCCCTCAAGGTGGACAACCTGACCTACCGCACCTCGCCCGACACGCTGAGGCGCGTCTTCGAGAAGTACGGGCGCGTTGGCGACGTGTACATCCCGCGGGACCGCTACACCAAGGAGTCCCGCGGCTTCGCCTTCGTCCGCTTCCACGACAAGCGGGACGCCGAGGACGCTATGGATGCCATGGACGGAGCCGTGCTGGACGGCCGCGAGCTGCGGGTGCAAATGGCGCGCTACGGCCGCCCCCCGGACTCACACCACAGCCGCCGGGGACCGCCACCCCGCAGGTATGGGGGCGGTGGCTACGGACGCCGGAGCCGCAGGTAAACGGGGCTGAGGGGACCGCGGGAGGCGGGGCGGGGCGCGCGGGAGACCCGGGCGGCCTCACAAAGGTCCGCGGCGAAGCACGTGGTGCGGGCCCGGACGGGGCGGGGGCTGCACGCCGCGTTTCGGACCCTGCGGCCGCCCCGCGAGCTTCCGCCGTCTGCGACCCGGGAGTGGCCGGGGTGTGGGCGGCGCGGGGCGGAGGACCCCGCCTCGCGACTGGGGAAATGGCGTCTGGCGGCGAGATAATGGCGGCCTGGGCGGGAGCGCGCGGGCGGGGCCGGCCCCGCTGCCTGGAATTAACCCCGCTGTGCTTGCTCGTCCCGCCTGCAGCCCTAGGCGGCGTCGCCGCAGCCGATCCCGGAGTCGGAGCCGTTCCAGGTCCCGCAGCCGATCTCGCTACAGCCGCTCGAAGTCTCGGTCCCGCACTCGCTCTCGCTCTCGGTCGACCTCCAAGTCCAGATCCGCGCGAAGGTCCAAGTCCAAGTCCTCCTCGGTCTCCAGATCTCGCTCGCGGTCCAGGTCCCGATCTCGGTCCAGGAGTCCTCCGCCGGTGTCCAAGAGGGAATCCAAATCCAGGTCGCGATCGAAGAGCCCTCCTAAGAGTCCTGAAGAGGAAGGAGCGGTGTCCTCTTAAGAAAATGGTAATGTCTGGGAATCCGAGACACACAACCCTAATTCATAAATGGGATTTGGGGTAGGTCTTTTTGAGCCGTGTTAATGTAAGAATGACTCCTATCGTTGGGAGTGCTGCTCGGAGGTTACTCACCTTTGGGAGTAATACTGAAGAGAGGGGTCTGCAGAAAGGATGTGTATGAAGCTTAGATAATAATGGCTGTTTCATAAACTGTTTGAGACCTATTAATGAAAATGACTATTTCTTGCTGTTTTTATCCAACGTCTGCATTTTCCCCCTTTAAAGCTGCGGTCTCCTGTTTGATAAAAGAATATTGGCCAGTATTGCAGATTTTAACTGATTTGGCTGATCCTCCAGGGACCAGTTTCTGTGGGCGTGTATTGGAGCAGGTTTGTCTTTAAATGTTAAAGATGCACTATCCTCTTAGAGAAACAATCAGTTCAACTATTGTTGTACTGACTGGGACTTCATATTCTAATGGATGTGGCAAACGAATTGCAATAAGAAGCAGTGAACATTTGGAACCCCAAAAGAAAGTTACAGGTATTGCACTGGGTGGGGAAAGGATAGTGTGTCTTTAACTCTTAAATTGTTTGGTCCTATTTTTTAAAAAGGAAAGGGCCCTAAGTAGCTCAGATATTAAAGTAGTATTCTCAATTACCAATGTTTCATTTGAAACAATTTATCTTAATGAAATATAGACCAATTCTCTGATTTCGAGTTGTTTTTGTTTGGATACAGCCCTTTTTTTTTTTTTTTTTTTTTTTTTTTTTTTTTCTTCCCCTTACCTTTCTTCACCTTGGTTATTTGGCCAGGAATATGTAAATTCAAACTTGTACATGCTGATGGTAGCCTTTGTGAAATTTTCCTAATTGGGCCTTTAAAAAACATGGCTGGGTGGAACATTTCTGTACCCTACTGGTTTCACCAGAGCCTTAGTAAGTACATGCCTGAAACTGAAACCATGTGCACTTTAATGGAAGGTGAGCTGAACTTCTTTCTTTTCAAACCTAGATGTATCGGCAAGCAGTGTAAACGGAGGACTTGGGGAAAAAGGACCACATACTCAGTCCACCGAAGAAGAGTCCTTGGAACAAGCAACTGGCTATTGAAAAGGTTATTTTGTAACATTTGTCTAACTTTTTACTTGTTTAAGCTTTGCCTCAGTTGGCAAACTTCATTTTATGTGCCATTTTGTTGCTGTTATTCAAATTTCTTGTAATTTAGTGAGGTGAACGACTTCAGATTTCATTATTGGATTTGGATATTTGAGGTAAAATTTCATTTTGTTACATAGTGCTGACTTTTTTTGTTTGAAATTAAACAGATTGGTAACCTAATTTGTGGCCTCCTGACTTTTAAGGAAAACGTGTGCAGCCATTACACACAGCCTAAAGCTGTCAAGAGATTGACTCAGCATTGCCTTCATTCCTTAAAATTAAAAACCTACAAAAGTTGGTGTAAATTTGTATATGTTATTTACCTTCAGATCTAAATGGTAATCTGAACCCAAATTTGTATAAAGACTTTTCAGGTGAAAAGACTTGATTTTTTGAAAGGATTGTTTATCAAACACAATTCTAATCTCTTCTCTTATGTATTTTTGTGCACTAGGCGCAGTTGTGTAGCAGTTGAGTAATGCTGGTTAGCTGTTAAGGTGGCGTGTTGCAGTGCAGAGTGCTTGGCTGTTTCCTGTTTTCTCCCGATTGCTCCTGTGTAAAGATGCCTTGTCGTGCAGAAACAAATGGCTGTCCAGTTTATTAAAATGCCTGACAACTGCACTTCCAGTCACCCGGGCCTTGCATATAAATAACGGAGCATACAGTGAGCACATCTAGCTGATGATAAATACACCTTTTTTCCCTCTTACCCCTAAAAATGGTAAATCTGATCATATCTACATGTATGAACTTAACATGGAAAATGTTAAGGAAGCAAATGGTTGTAACTTTGTAAGTACTTATAACATGGTGTATCTTTTTGCTGATGAATATTCTGTATTATAACCATTGTTTCTGTAGTTTAATTAAAACATTTTCTTGGTGTTAGCTTTTCTCAGAATATGTCCTGGTCTTTTTTTCCCCCATTTATTTGAAGGAACTATGCAATTTTGTGATTGTTGCTGACTGCATAGTATGGAAGTGGAATGTTTAGTGCCTATCATTTCCTAAGTTAAAGTGGAAATGCTAGTGGAAACACCTAAAAGCAATGCTTTAATGTGGCACTTTTCTTGAGGTTGTGATACCCCCTTCTCAACCTAATTTATATCCTATTTAATGACAAAGGAACAATCCAAGTACTTGTAATATGTATTTTAATTTTTGTTTCATATGAGTTAATGTAAGTGTTGTCAAGGTGACATCAAAATCTGATGCAAACAGACTTGACCATCTTCAGACCCACTGCATTCTCAAGCTGAAGGGGTCTGCTCATAGTTTGTGTGCCAGGTTGCTCATCAGTATTGATATTGTCCCAGAACAAGTTGTAGGTGTAATTCAGAGACTGTCCTTTGCAAAGGAAATGACCAGCATTTCAACTGTATGTCTTCCTGGAAGGGCAGATTCTGCTATATCTTCTTTGTCTGCATCAAAAGATTCCAGAGGAATATGGACACATTTCATATCCCATTTGTAGAGTAAAGCTTCAAGTGACCAGTCAGCACTTAAAAAAAAAAAATAAATGGTTTTTTTAAAGTCATGCCTTTTCTGTTTTGCTTCAGATATATTTTATTAAATTATATATTGCATGGGTAGAGTAGAGTAAGGCTTAAGTTACATACAAAAAGTAAGCTAGGGTTATCCATACTTGCCTTCTAACTTGATAAGTAGACCACAATTGGACCTTGGGGTTCTTGTGCATCAAAAAATATATTGTAGTTAAAATGTCTTCAAAATCTGAGAAGAAAGGATTTATGAATAGACTTTCATACAGCATCACTGGCCAAATGTACTATTGAGCCAAAAAAGTTTACCTTCTGGTTCAAAGAACACATCAGATGCAAGGATAATATCTTGTGGTGGTAGAGCCAGAAGATCCCAAGATACATGACCCCAAGTTAGTCCTACCACCTGCAGCTGTGGCAGGTTATTCATTTGGCAGCTTTGCCGACAGACTTCCAGACAGTGAGGCAGTTCTGAGCTGTCTGACAGTATTACTTCTGCACCACATTTGGCAGCCAAAATTCCTGGAAGGCTCACTCCAGCTCCAATCTAGTAAGTTAGAAAAGATGGCATTTAACAATTATACTTGGAACTGCAAAAAATTGGGAATCTTAGTACTTTTTCATTCTTCCATTTTTAAGTAAGCATAGTCAGTCAATCTGGGTTTCTTTCTGTAAAATGTGTACCACAACTGAACATTACTATAAAGATGGCAAAAGTGCATTCCTTATGAATCGACTGCTAAAGGGTAAAAGCTGAACCCTTCAATTTTAACATTAAAGGGCCATGTATCGTAACTGGCAGTTAATTGCTATGTACACAGTAGTAGTTTTGGGGCACTTGATTCCTCTGCCATGATTTTCAGTTTTTGGGTTTTTTTTGTTTGTTTTGTTTTTTGTTTTTGAGTCTTACTGTTTTTGTTTGTTTTGTTTTTGAGTCTTGCTCTGTTCCCCAGGCTGGAGTACAGTGGTGCAATTTCGGCTCACCGCAACCTCTACTTCCCGGGTTCCAGTGATTCTCCTGCCTCAGCCTGCTGAGTAGCTGTCTACCAAGCCCAGCTAATTTTTTTTTTTTTTTTTTTGAGACAAGTGTTTCATTCTTGTTGCCCAGGCTGGAGTTCAATCTTGGCTCACTGCAATCTCCGCCTCCTGTGTTTGAGCAATTCTCCTGCCTCAGCCTCCCAAGTAGCTGGGATTACAGGCGTGCACCAAGCCCAGCTAATTTTACATTTCTTTAGTAGAGACGGGGTTTCTCCATGTTGGTCAGGCTGGTCTCGAACTCCAAACCTCAGGTGATCCACCTGTCTTGGCCTCCCAAAGAGCTGGGATTACAGGCGTGAGCCACCATGGCCAGCCACCCAGCTAGTATTTTGTATTTTTTAGTAGAGACAGGGTTTTACCATGTTGGCCAGGCTGGTCTTGAACGCCTGACCTCAAGTGATCTGCCAGCCTCAGTCTCCCAAAGTGCTGGGATTACAGGCATAAGCCACAGCACTTGGCCTAGTTTTCACTTCTGTTAGCATGAACAGCTAAAACCTAACAGATTTCTTTCTTCTGTAGCTAAAACCTAACAGATCTGTAACATGGCTTTCTAGTAAAGATTTTCCAGTTGGGCCTTGAAAGTGGCAAGACGCTTTGTAGACACTAAGAAATAATACCAGAGAATGCCTTCATAAGTATTAGCATAAACAGAAGCTTCCCATTTTCCAGTTCAAGGAAGGACATAGAGATTAATTCTGAGTGCCTAGCAATTACAACTAGGGCCAGAGGTGTGTGCCAAATCCTACCCCTAATTTCATTTACTTGGTGTAGTAAAAGTTAAGAGTGGGATGTTAAGCTTCTGGTTTGTCTATTTAGCCTTTGGTCTTAAGTATGGTGTGAAAGTCTATTTCTGCAAATGTGGTAAAATTGGTTTTTCCAAGCCTTCACCAGTCTGAGGCCAGATAGGTTAGAAAGAGAATGGGATACATTTTTTACACTAACCTCAACATTTCCAAAAACAGAAAGGGCTATATTACGGTCTGAACGTTTGTGTTCACCCAAAATTCATATGTTCAAATCCTAATTACCCATCTGATGTGAGCCTTGGGGGGCAATTACATAAAGGCAGAGTTCTCATGATTAGTGCCCCTATAAAAGGCCCTGGAGAGTTGCCTTGCTTCTTAAGGCACTTAAGAACACAGAGGGTACTGAACTAGAATTCTGGCCCTCACCAGACACTGAACCTGTAAGGACTTTGATCCTGGGACTTCACTGCCTCCAGAACTGAGACACAAATGTCTTTATTTTTAGATTTTTGAGATGCAGTCTTGCTCTGTCGCCCAGGCTGGAGTGCAGCGGCATGATCTCAGCTCACTCCAACTTCCACCTCCCGGGTTCAAGCGATTCTCCTACCTCAACTTCCTGAGGAGCTGGGACTACAGGCATGTGCCACCAGGCCTGGCTAATTTTTTCTATTTATAGTAAAGATGGGGTTTCACCATGTCGGCCAGGCTGGTCTTGAACTCCTGACCTCAGCTGATCTGCCCACATTGGCCTCCCAAATTGCTGGGATTACAGGCGTGAGCCACAGTGCCCGGCCAGAGACATAAATTTCTGTTATTTATAAGCTACCCAGTTTATGGTATTTTGTTACAGCAACCTGAATGTAAAAAGCCTGCATGACACTGCTGGGACGCCTAAAACAATGGCCTTAAAGACTGCCACAGCCGTGGAAGGGATTCAGGGGCTTCATCTAGAATAGCGGTCAGCAAACTAAAGGGCTAGAGAGTAAATATTTTAGGCTTTGTGGTCCACCTATAGTCTCTAACACTTCTTTCTTTTTTCTTAGAGACAGGGTTTCACCATGTTGACCAGGCTGGTATCAAAATCCTGGGCTCGAGAGATCTTCCCACCTCAACCTTCCAAAGTACCAGGATTACAGGTGTGAGCCATCACACCCAGTGTCTTTTTTAAAAAACCACTTCTTTTTTTTTCTTTTTGAGACGGAGTCTTGCTCTGTTGCCCAGGCTGAAGGGCAATGGTGCGATCTTTGCTCACTGCAACCTCTGCCTCCAGGGTTCAAGCAATTCTCCTGTTTCAGCCTCCCAAATAGCTGGGATTACAGGCATGCACCACTGTGCCTGGCTAATTTTTGTATTTTTAGTAGAGAAAGGGTTTCACCATGTTGGCCAGGCTGGTCTCAAACTCCTGACCTCAAATGATGCCCCCGCCTCGGCCTCCCAAAATGCTGGGATTACAGGCGTGAGCCACCGTGCCCAGCCAAAAAAACCACTTTTTAAATGAAAAAAGTTCCAGGATTATCTCTGTACCTTAAGACAAAAACAAAACATTCTTAGCTCACAGACCTTACAAACTAGTTAAATTACCCGATTTAAAAATACTTAACAAAAGCTAATAACAAGCAATATACACATGTAAACTTAACACATCTGAACATAACCCAGAACTCTGGAAACTTCAGGGGCATCTGTACCTCTAAGATGGCCTTGCCTGGCAGAGATCTTCTGTGAAACCAAAGGTACTGGGCCAGGACCACAGCACAGGGCCAAACATACATTCCATACTGGAGATGCAGGACCTGAAAAGAATGTTTTTGTGTGCCATAAATAATTTAGCTGCTGGAAGTTGGAATCATTTATACAGCAATTTCTGTCAGGCATTGGCATCCATTACAAAAATGGCAACCCTGTTCACCAATCCATGACCTTTGGGAATATAAAACTGCAATGCAATGTGATAGAAACTCTTGATAGCATTCTTCATTCAACAAGTGCTTCTAGTGTCAAGAGTATCAGTGACCATTCTTAGACTGGGGATGTAGCTCTCCCTGAGCACATACCCTACTGTAGAGAGACAGGCAACGAGCAAGCAAATAAGATAGTTTTAGTCAGGGGCCGGGTGCGGTGGCTCACGCCTGTGATCCCAGCACTTTGGGAGGCTGAGGCAGGCGGATCACCTGAGGTCAGGAGTTTGAGACCAGCCAAATTAACACAGACCCCCGTCTCCACTAAAAATACAAAAAAATTCGCCGGGCGTGGTGGCACGTGCCTGTAATCCCAGCGACTTGGGAGGCTGAGGCGGGAAAATCGCTTGAACACCGGAGGCGGAGGTTGCAATGAGCTGAGGTTGCGCCACTGCACTCCAGCCTGGGAAACAGTGACACTACGTTTCAAAAAAAAAAAACAACAACAAACCACAGGCCGGGCGCGGTGGGTCACGCCTGTAATCCCAGCACTTTGGGAAGCCGAGGCGGGCGGATCATGAGGTCAGGAGATCGAGACCATTCTGGCTAACACGGTGAAACCCCGTCTCCACTAAAAAATACAAAAAAAATTAGCCGGGCGTGGTGGTGGGCGCCTGTAGTCCCAGCTACTCCGGAAGCTGAGGCAGGAGAATGGCGTGAACCCGGAAGGCGGAGCTTGCGGTGAGCCGAGATCATGCTACTGCACTCCAGTTTGGGTGACAGAGCAAGACTCCAACTCCAAAAAAAAAAAAAGAAAAGAGGCTTCTATTCTCACAGGCAGTACCATCACCCCCTACATTTAGGAGGAAATGCAAGTGTATTTAAACGTGAAGCCAGCTGGGCGCGGTGGCTCACGCCTGTAATCCCAGCACTTTGGAAGGCCGAGGGGGGGGGTGGATCACCTGAGGTCAGAAGTTCAAGACCAGCTTGGCCAACATGGCAAAACCCCGTCTCTACTAAAAATACAAAAATTAGCCAGGCATGGTGGCAGGCGCCTGTAATCCCAGCTACTCGAGAGGCTGAGGCAGGAGAATCACTTGAACCCGGGAGGCGGAGGTTGCAGTGAGCACTGCAGTCTGGGCGACAGAGCAAGGCTCCGTCTCAAAAAAAAAAAAAGAAAAAAAAAAAATCCCTGAAGCCAGATTAGGTGTGGTGGCCGACGCCTGTAGTCTGTTACTTGAAAGGCTGAGGTGGGAGGATCACTTGAGCCCGAGGTTGAGGTTGCAGTGAGCCCACCACTGCACTCCAGGGCAAGAGAGCCAGCGTCTGGGTCAAAAACAATAAAACGTGAAGCTGTTTGGAGAAAATCAGAAATAGCCTCCACTCCAATCTTTTGGTTTTTTTCCTCTTTTTGACAAGGTCTTGCTCTGTTGCTCATGCCTGAGTGCAGTGGCCTGATCATAGCTCACAGCAGCCTTCACCTCTCTGGCTCAAGCAATCCTCCCACCTCAGCCTCCGGAATAGCTGGAACTACAGGCACACGCCACCATGCCTGACTAATTTTTCTATTTTTTGTAGAGACATAGTATCACTATATTGCCCAGGCTGGTCTCAAACTCCTGGTCCCAAGCGATCCTCCCGCCTCTGCCTGCCATTTAACTTCTCTAAAGCTGTTTCTTTAGCATGGGACATGCCTCACAGGCTGCTGTTAAAACCAAATGAAATACAGCAACGTGAAAGTGCTTTGAAAAACCGAAGACAGGCAGGGCATGGTGGCTCACTCCTGTAATCCCAGCACTTAGGCAGGCGGGAGGATCACTTGAACCCGGGAGTTGGAGGTTGCAGTGAGCTGTGATCGCGCCACTGCGCTCCAGCCTGGGCGCCAGAGCGAGACAGTGTCTCAAAAAAAAGAAAAGAAAAAGAATTATCATTGAGAGTTTTGTGGCAGCTGTGAGCTTAGAGAAAGAAGCGAGGTCCAACCGAAAAAACTATTAGGGCACCAAATAAAACTGGAAACCCTGGTCCCAAAACTCACACAAAAGTGAGAGAGAAGGATGAATCAAGAAACCCTTGAACAAGATCAAAAGAAGCATTAGAGGTCAGTCAAGAATGTCACTTTCCTGGAAAGAGAGATTCGATGTGGAGAAAGCCGGCCCGGCGCGGAAGCTAACGCCTGTAATCCTAGCACTGTGGGAGGTCGAGGCGGGAGGATCACTTAAGCTTACAGTTCGAGACCAGCCTGACCAACATAGTGACCAGGGTCACTTCTTGGCAGGGTCTCCAAAATTCTTACTGAGAGACATTTAATGCACCGAAGGGACTCATATCCGACGTTTTCGCTCCGGGGGCCAACCTAAAGCAGGAAGCTGCGCAGCTGAGCGTCCGCATCCCGCCGTCCCTCAGGACCCCAGCCAAGTCAGCCGAGAACCGCTCCTGCCCTCACGCGCCTCCCGGCGGGTGCTGCTGCACGCACCTGCGGGACGTGGACCTCCAGGACGGCCCCGTCGGCTCCCGGGCCCGGCTCCTCCGAGAATCGAAAGCGCTGGGCCCGGACCCCCTGTCCTCGGAAATCGTGCTCGCTCAGGGGGGCGTCGTTGGGCCCCGGGTGGGCGGGGGACCGTGGAAGGCTCCGGGCTGCCAGGCTGCGCAAGCGGGAAGCCCCGGGCCACGTGGCTCTAGCACCTGACTGCAAGAAAGGGAAAGCACGGCGCTGGTGATAACCCTGCCGCGCTGCAAGCGAAGAAACCCCGGAGTAAAGCGAAAGAGACACAGATTCGCAGGACTGGCAACCGGCGGCTGGCGCGACCGGAAGTGATGCGCACAGCGGCCGCGCGGGAGGGGCGGGGCGGGGCGGGGCAGTGACGCAGCCGACGTGACCTTCCCAACATGGCGAAGGCCCGCCGTGTGTGAGGGCGGACCCCAGGGGCGCCGAAGCCAATGGCAGACCGCGAGAGGCGTGGGGGCGGGGAAGACAGCGGCCGCTTGCCCAACCCGAGACTCGGGAGGTGGCTGGGGAGTGAATTTTCTGGAAGGCGATTTTAAAGGCGCCGGGACTGAGCGAAGGGCGTTTTGGTGCTGCCGCCGTCGCCGCCGCCCAGGCCGGGGAGGGGTGCGTTAGTGGCAGGAAGCGGGCTGCGCCGAGGTCGTAGCGGAACCAGCTGGCGACCCCGCAGAATGAACCACAAGAGCAAGAAGCGCATCCGCGAGGCCAAGCGGAGTGCGCGGCCGGAGCTCAAGGACTCGCTGGATTGGACTCGGCACAACTACTACGAGAGCTTCTCGCTGAGCCCGGCGGCCGTGGCGGTGAGCGGGTCGGGCGGGGGTGGCCAGGCCGGGCATCGGCACCTCCAGCCGCTGCGCACTTTTCTCTGGGCCCGGGGCTGCCGTCGCCCCGAGCGCGGCACCCGGGACCTTGTAGAGGCTCAGCCGCACCCCGCGGAGTTTGGGGTCCCCGAGGCGCGGATTCCGGGGCGGGCCGCTTCCTCCCATGCTGTGGCCGCTCGTCTGCTCCGGCGGACGACGGGAGTCCCATGCCTGTGGCGCTCTCAACTAGAAGGCCGGTCGTCCCTGACTCCTTTGGGCGGCGGGTCCCCTCGGGGACCTGGCTGTCAAGGCTCTCGAGGGGGTGGCTGTAGGAACGACGTGGCCTCACGCACGCGCCCTCCCCCCACCCCGGAGGAGCCAGATGAGAGTCAACTTCCTTCGGTTTGCCATTACCAATTAGCCTTGGGGACACCCTTATCTGCCACTGGACTTCTTTTTTTTTTTTTTTTTTTTAACTGGACAGGTCTTTTCTGATTCCCTCAGGATAACGTGGAAAGGGCAGATGCTTTACAGCTGTCTGTGGAAGAGTTTGTGGAGCGGTATGAAAGACCTTACAAGCCCGTGGTTTTGTTGAATGCACAAGAGGGCTGGTCTGCGCAGGAGAAATGGACTCTGGAGCGCCTGAAAAGGAAATATCGGAACCAGAAGTTCAAGTGTGGTGAGGATAACGATGGCTACTCAGTGAAGATGAAGATGAAATACTACATCGAGTACATGGAGAGCACTCGAGATGACAGTCCCCTTTACATCTTTGACAGTAGCTATGGTGAACACCCTAAAAGAAGGAAACTTTTGGAAGACTACAAGGTGCCCAAGTTTTTCACTGATGACCTTTTCCAGTATGCTGGGGAGAAGCGCAGGCCCCCTTACAGGTAAAGTATTCTGCAGCTAAGTGGTTAAAATCTTTTTTTTGAGACGGAGTTTCACTCTTGTTGCCCAGACTGCAGTGCAGTGGTGCGATCTCGGCTCCCGACAATCTCCATCTCCCGGGTTCAAGCGATTCTCCTGCCTCAGCCTCCTGAGTAATAGGGATTACAGGCATGCGCCACCACGCCCAGTTAATTTTGTATTTTTAGTAGAGACGGGGTTTCACCATGTTGGTCAGGCTGGTCTCGAACTCCCGACTTCAGGTGATCCGCCCGCCTCAGCCTCCCAAAGTGCTGCGACTGTAGGTGTGAGCTACGCGCCCGGCCTGTGGTTAAAATCTTATCTACAACAGCATTTGCTCACTGAGTTCAGTTGGTAATCTTTTTTCGAAACAGTGAGTACTCTCTCAGCTGTACATTGAACTCACTTAGGGGGCTCCTGAGGCCTGTCTGGGCCCTGCTGGGGAGACTGATTTAATTCGGGTGATGCCTGGGCATCAGAATTTCTGAAAGCTCTTCAGGTGACCTGAATGTGCAGCTAAAGTTGAACCACTGATCTCTTTTTTTTTTTTTTTTTTTTTGATACGGAGTCTTGCTCTGTCGCCCAGGCTGGAGTGCAGTGGCGCGATCTCGGCTCATTGCAAGCTCCGCCTCCTGGGTTGACGCCATTCTCCTGCCTCAGCCTCCGGAGTAGCTGGGACTACAGGTGCCTGCCACCACACCCGGCTAATTTTTTTTTTTTTTTTTTTTTGTATTTTTAGTAGAGACGGGGTTTCACCGTGTTAGCCAGGATGGTCTCTATCTCCTGACCTCGTGATCTGCCCGCCTCGGCCTCCCACAGTGCTGGGATTACAGGCTTGAGCCACCGCGCCCAGCTGAACCACTGATCTCTAAGGGAAATTTTAATAAAGTCCAGCAATAAACCGCATTCGTGATTTTTCTTTTCTTTTTTTTTTTTTGAGACGGAGTCTCGCTCTGTCACCCAGGCTGGAGTGCAGTGGCCGGATCTCAGCTCACTGCAAGCTCCGCCTCCCGGGTTCACGCCATTCTCCTGCCTCAGCCTCCCCAGTAGGTGGGACTACAGGCGCCCACCACCTCGCCTGGCTAGTTTTTTGTATTTTTTAGTAGAGAGGGGGTTTCACCGTGTTAGCCAGGATGGTCTCCATCTCCTGACCTCGTGATCCACCCGTCTGGGCCTCCCAAAGTGCTGGGATTATAGGCTTGAGCCACCGCGCCCGGCCTCTTTTCTTTTTTCTTTTTTTTTTCTTTATTGAGATGGAGTCTCCCTATGTCGCCCAGGCTGGAGTGCAGTGGCACGATCTCGGCTCACTGCAGCCTCCGCCTCCGGGGTTCGAGCAATCCTTCTGTCTCAGCCTCCTGAGTAGTTGGGGTTACAGGTGCCCACCACTACACCCAGCTAATTTTTGTATTTTTAGTAGAGATGGGGTTTCACCGTATTGGTCAGCCTGATCTCGAACTCCTGACCTCAGGTGATGCACCCGCCTCGGCCTCCCAAAGTGCTGGGTTTATAGGCGTGAGCTACCGCCCCAGCTGATTTTTCTTATTTTGTTAGGAATCAGTCCATGAAAAATGCGCTTAGTGTTTCTGTGTACCAGAATTTATATAATCTCTGAAATAAAGATGATATAATATATCACAAAATTAAAACCTGGCCAGGTGCTGTGGCTCAACCCTGTTATTCCAGCACTTTGGGAGCCCAAGGTGGTTGATCACTTGAGGCCAGGAGTTCAAGACCAGCCTGACCAACATGGTGAAACCCTGCCTCTACTAAAAATACAAAAATTAGCCGGGCATGCGCCTGTAATCCCAGCTACTCAGGAGGCAAAGGCAGGAGAATCGCATGAACCTGGGGAAGCAGAGGTTGCAGTCAGCCAAGATCACACCACTGCATTCCAGCCTGGGTGATAGAGCAAGACTCTCTCAAAAAAAAGAAAAACTAAAAACTTACTGTTTTGTGTGGTATGTGTGTAACTAAATTACACTTCACATCTTGGATATCTCCATTCTGTAGGTGGTTTGTGATGGGGCCACCACGCTCTGGAACTGGGATTCACATCGACCCTCTGGGAACCAGTGCCTGGAATGCCTTAGTTCAGGGCCACAAGCGCTGGTGCCTGTTTCCTACTAGCACTCCCAGGGAACTCATCAAGGTGACCCGAGAGGAAGGAGGGAACCAGCAAGACGAAGCCATTACCTGGTTTAATGTTATTTATCCCCGAACACAGCTTCCAACCTGGCCACCTGAATTCAAACCCCTGGAAATCTTACAAAAACCAGGAGAGACTGTCTTTGTACCAGGTATAGATGAACTGGAAGAAAGTACATTCTTTGATTTCAATATTTTGTCATTTTGGAGCAGAACTGTTAGAGAGAGAGTCCAAAAAATCCTTTGGATGCTGCCTGGTAAATGAACTGGTACTTACCTCTGACAGTAATGTATCTATAGCGTCACATACTTTGGGAGCTCTTGTTCACATTTTACACGGCTGTAAAACTTGATAAACTATGTAGGCCGGTTGCGGTGGCTCACGCCTGTAATATCAGCACTTTGGGAGGCTGAAGTGGGTGGATCACTTGAGGTCAGGAGTTTAAGACCAGCCTGGCCAACATGGTGAAACCCTGTCTCTACTAATAATACAAAATTAACCAGGCGTGGTGATGGGCGCCTGGTTAATCCCAGCTACTTAGGAGGCTGAGGCAGGAGAATCACTTGAACCCAGGAAGCGGAGGCTGCAGTGAGCTCAGATTGTGCCACTGCACTCCAGCCTGGGTGACAGAGCAAAACTCCGTCTCAAAAAACAAGCTGTATGTAAAGATGCAACTTTATCTGCAGTAGTCACCTGTTGTCTTTGTATATGGGTAGTGACTTGTTTGTGTTTCTGTAAATTGGGGTTTAATTCCTTTTTTTTTTTTTGAGATGGAGTCTCGCTCTGTCACCCAGGCTGGAGTGCAATGACACAATCTCGGCTCGCTGCAACCTCCACCTGACAGGTTCAAGCGATTCTCTTGTCTCAGCCTCCCAAGTAGCTGGGAATACAGGCGCATGCCTCCACGCCCAGCTAATTTTTTGTATTTTAGTAGAGACGGGGTTTCATCATGTTGCCCAGGCTGGTCTTGAACTCTTGAGCTCAGGCAATCCACCCACTTCAGCCTCCCAAAGTGCTAGGATTACAGGTGTGAGCCACCACCCCCAGCCAGGGTTTAATTCTGTAAATTGAGTTGGAGGTCTCACTGTTATCCAGGCTGGCCTCCTTGGTGCAAGCAAGCCTCCTGCCCCAGCCTCCCAAAGTGCTGGGATTATACGTGTGAACCACTAAGCCCAGCCTAAATTGGGTTTTTGATGCACTGTAGCACTGTCCGGGTTGAATCAGGAAATCCCACACCAGACAACTGCACTTTGGTAAGTGAAGGAAAGTGAGCGTATTTAAAGTAGGTGTCCTCTTCCTAGAAGCTGAAGAACTTTATGCTTTTGCACTTTTGGTCACAGCTTTGGATTAACAGGAGTGAACAAACTTTTTCTATAAAGGGCCAGGGAGTCAATATTTTAGGTGAGCCAGACTGTCACAACTACTCACCTCTGCCGTTGTAGCTGGAAAGCAGCCCTAGACAATCCGTCACCAGATGGGCATGGCTGTGCTCCAGTACAACTTGATTTCCACAAACAAGTTATTTGCAATCCCTGGATCAGAAGGAACATTTACTACCCTGTATGTCTGTAGGCTCTCCCTTATGGATAGGAGTTCCCAATTTCTGGTGTGTGTGTTACACAGTAATTAGATAGGATCAAACCTTGTTTAACTTTTTATTTGTTGGATTTCAGGAGGCTGGTGGCATGTTGTCCTCAATCTCAACACTACTATCGCCATCACCCAAAATTTTGCCAGCAGCACCAACTTCCCTGTGGTATGGCACAAGACGGTAAGAGGGAGACCAAAGTTATCAAGGAAATGGTATAGGTGAGAGTCATTTTGTTGTTATTTCTGCTTGGTTTCAATTTCGACCCCAGAGATAAAATGGCAAGTCCACTGCTGCGATGTTGTGTGCGCATTGCAGACAGGCCTGGGCAAAGCTGGGGCTGCCGATCCTCTGGGTAGAAGAGAGAGGGGCCAAGGTCAGGGCGAGTCCTCAGGGTGTTTGCCAGCCTCGAGGTGGCAGGGTGAGACTCTGCATGTTGAATCCAAGCCAGTCAGTCAAAACGTCATAATTGGGATTGTTTCTCATTTTGTTTTGTTTTTTGTTTTTCAAAGCTAGCGCTAGCTAATTTTATTTGGGTTTTATTTGGGTTATTTATTTTTCTTACCCAGAAGCATTTTTCCTATTTGAACTTAATACCTTGAGTTCTTGTGAGTGAGGTGACTGCCCTGGAGACTTAGCTCCTCTGTTTATCCACAGAACAGATACAGCACGGGCAGCGGCAGTGCAAGCCACCCACAGCCACCCCGTGCCACTGTGTCCCAACCCTGACCTGGAGGGACCAGCTCTCGGGGTAAGAGAGGGATTCTGGCTTGTTCTGTGCTCAGCCTCCCTGCTGAGAGGGCCAGTAAGGGTGGTGGCTTCTGTTCTCCCTGGACTCTTGGGCATCTGAGGCCCACTTACCCCGCCCCGTAGGCCACTGCGTGCTGCGATCTGGTCACACCGCAGGCCTTATCATACAACAGGCCTTTTGTCACTGGTTACAGTGGATGCCAGACAAGGTTTCTGAAGGGGAGGGCTGCTGCTCTTCAGTTCAGTTTTACGATTCCAGTGAGGGGGGACCATCTCTGTTATTTGACACCTCGTATTTCTTACAAATCTAATTGTTTCTGCTCTTAGAAATAGAATCTAACCAATGCAGCTCTGATCATTATGTGCCGTGCTGTGGAAAGGAAAGATTTTTTAAAAATCAGCTGGGAAAGGTTCAGGAAATAAAACTAGGAAGAGGAACTTTTTCTCCCAAGGGAATAAAACTAAGACTAAAGGAAAATTGTGCCTCGTGTGTTGGTGGCATGGCTGGCTCATTTGTGCAGGTGGTAGTATATTGTGTGTAGTTAGCATAGTTTTCCTTGCAGAAAAACTCGGGCACTGTATTGGGTTTCTCTTGTTCCCAGCCTGGGGTTTTGTCCTCACCATTATACAGTACCCATTCTGAATGGACACACCTGGCATTCCCAGGTGTTTCTGAGAGACACAGGCCTCAACTCTAAGTGAGTCTTTGTGAGTGGGTATGGCTGTCAGTGCACTGAGAACAACACTTCTTGCTTCTCAGGATCTTGAAGCAAGAGCACCCCGAGTTGGCAGTCCTGGCAGACTCGGTTGACCTTCAGGAGTCCACAGGGATAGCCTCCGACAGCTCCAGCGACTCTTCCAGCTCCTCCAGCTCCAGTTCGTCAGACTCCGACTCAGAGGTGAGGCCTTGCTCGCTCGCTGGCTGGCTCCTGGAGCCTCCAAGGCTCATGTCACTCAGTCACAACCAGGTGTGACTCTTCCTCCTCCTATCCAGGAGAAGGATATAGAAGTTTTTCCACCTTGTTCTAAGGGTTACAGTTGTCACCATTCCTGCTGAGTGGTGTCTCTTGCCCATTTTACAGCTTCGCACATGTGCATGAATTGTTTGTTTGTTTGTTTGTTTTGAGACTGAGTTTCGCCCTTGTTGCCCAGGGTGGAGTGCAATGGCGCGATCTCAGCTCACTGCAACCTCTGCCTCCCAAGTTCAAGTGATTCTCCTGCCTCAGTCTCCCTGGTAGCTGGGATTACAGGCGCGTGCCACCACACCCACCTTATTTTTTGTATTTTTAGTAGAGACTATAAACTCTACATACTTTAGTAGGGTTTCGCTATGTTGGCCAGGCCGGTCTCAAACTCCCGGCCTCAGGTGATATCCGCCTCAGCCTCCCAAAGTGGTGGGATTACAGGCGTGAGCCACCATGCCCAGCTAAGAACTGTTAAAACAGCCTCGAGGTACCGGGTGTTTGGGGATTTAGTGAAGTAAATGGCTTAAGATGAAGTAGCAGTGTCAGATTTCAAACTCATCCTTCTGACCTCAAAGCTCATATGAAGAATTTCCCCCATGGATGGTGAATTGTAAGCCTAGAAATTCAGCAAATCCAGTGACCTTAAACTTGAAGCTGACAGTAATACTGGGTGAGAGGGCCCTGCACCTCGAACAGGTGAAATTTCTATCTCAGCCTGGCGCGGTGGCTCACGCCTGTCATCCTAGCATTTTGGGAGGCCAAGGTGGGTAGATTACTTGAGGTCAGGAGTTCAAGACCAGCCTGGCCAACATGATGAAATCCCATATCTACTAAAAATACAAAAATTAGTTGGGCATGGTGGTACACACCTATAATCCCAGCTACTCAGGAGGCTGAGGCGGGAGAATCGCTTGAACCCAGGAGGTGAAGGCTACAGTGAACCAAGATCACACCACTGCACTCCAGCCTGGGCGACAGAGTGAGACTTTGTCTCAAAAAAAAAAAATTCTGTCTTTTCACACAGTCTACTGATTGAGTCTTTTCTCGTCAGGCGGGAAACGGGCTCTGGGAATGTTCAGTGCTGTACCTAGTTCCTTTCATGCATCAGGCTCTGTTGGTAGAGTGAAATCTCATAATGCACTTTCAGAATTCTGACTAAAAGATTTTTACAATGGGTATCGTATTCAGACAAATAACTGCACCGTTAAGAGAACAGTGGGCCGGGCGCGGTGGCTCAAGCCTGTAATCCCAGCACTTTGGGAGGCCGAGACGGGCGGATCACGAGGTCAGGAGATGGAGACCATCCTGGCTAACCCGGTGAAACCCCATCTCTACTAAAAATACAAAAAACTAGCCGGGCGAGGTGGCGGGCGCCTGTAGTCCCAGCTACTCGGGAGGCTGAGGCAGGAGAATGGCGTAAACCTGGGAGGCAGAGCTTGCAGTGAGCTGAGATCCGGCCACTGCACTCCAGCCCGGGCGACAGAGCGAGAAAAAAAAAAAAAAAGAGAACAGTGGAGGGATACTTGGCCTCTGAGGGAAGTTTGAAATTCTTAGGGAGCCAGGAACATCCAAGGAGGTGGCTATGAAGGCTGCATTGTGGAGCTCCCATAATGACTGCTTTGCATCTGGGAGAAAGTGACCAGTATCTGTGCTGTCTCCCGAGGTCAGAGGTTTGTTTAATGAAGAAGTGGGTTGCGTCCAGGCTGACTCCTTGTTTTCTCTCCTCCTGTGTCCAGTGCGAGTCTGGATCTGAGGGCGACGGGACAGTGCACCGCAGGAAGAAGAGGAGGACGTGTAGCATGGTGGGAAACGGGGACACCACCTCCCAGGACGACTGTGTCAGCAAAGAGCGCAGCTCCTCCAGGTGACCCAGCAAGGCTATTGTCTGTATGGAAGGACACGCTCGCGGCAAGGGCAGGGCCTGGGGAGGGCGGCCTGTCCAGTCCTGCAGACAAGGGGAGGCCTGACAGAGCCTGAGAATGAGGACGCCCTCGGCACGGGAACCCATTCACTTAGCGTTTGCTCCAGTAGCTTTCCCTCTGCTACCGATGCAGATAAACGCGGCTTGTTTTACTCAGAAAGGCAAGAGAATGTGAATGGTGCCAAAAAAACCCTTTATTTAATAAAAATTGAATCCATTTTCTATCTTGGAAATGTTTTCCTTTGAGAATACCAGAGCATTCTCTTATTGCTCTTCTCTTGATGGTCTTGAGGGAAAGCAGTGACTGCTGCCGCGCCTCCTTGACTGTGGAGGCGTCGTCCCAGCAGTGAAGGGAGAGCCATTGGAAAAGTCACCCGGCATCTTCTGCAGAACCTGAGGCATGGCCTCTTGCTTTTTCTCCCAGTTTGCCATTGCTGCTTGAGTGCTCAGCCAAATCAGACAGCAGCAGAGAACTCTGATTTATCAAATCTTTTTTTTTTTTTTTTTTGAGACAGGGTCTCGCTCTGTTGCCCATGCTGGAGTGCAGTGGCACGATCTCGGCTCACTGCAGCCTCCGCCTCCGGGGTTCAAGCAATCCTTCTGTCTCAGCCTCCTGAGTAGTTGGGGTTACAGGTGCCCACCACTACACCCAGCTAAAATTTATTTATTATTTATTTATTTCAGACCAAGTCTACGCTCTGTCCGTCGCCAGGCTAGACTGGCTGATCGCCGATCTCGGCTCACTGCAACCTCCACCTCCCAGGTTCAAGCAATTCTCCTGCCTCAGCCTCCCGAGTAGCTGGGATTACAGGCATGCGCCACCACGCCCAGCTAATTATTTTTTTATTTTTAGTAGAGGCAGAGTTTCACCATATTGGCCAGGCTGGTCTCAAACTTCTGACCTTGTGATCCACCCACCTCAGCCTCCCAAAGTCCTAGGATTACAGATGTGAGCCACCGTGCCCGGCCAGCTAATTTTTATTATTATTTTTAGTAGTGACGAAGTCTCTCTGTGTTGCCCAGGTTGGTCTTGAATTCCTCGCCTCAAGTGATCCCCCCACCTCAGCCTCCCAAAGCAGTAGGATTATTATAAGCATGAGCCACCTCACACAGCTTTTATAAAAACTTAATCACATCTCCAAGTACAAGATTGGATCTAAATAAGTTAAAACTTAAACATCTATTTGCAAGCACCTGGGCATGTAACAGGCTCATAATGAAATTTGTTCACTCTCTGCATTTGTCTGCGGTCTTTAAATGCTACAGGTCTTTGATGTGCTGGTTGAAGTGTTAAGAGAGATTGTTGGAAGATAGTAAAATACTGAAGTTGAAGCTGGGCATGGTAGCTCAAGCCTGTAATCCCAGCACTTTGGGAGGCCAAGGCAGGAGGATCGCTTGAGCTCAGGAGTTCAAGACCAACTTGGAGAATATAGTGATATCCTGTCTTTTAAAAAAAATATATATATATATATATATATGTTTTAATACTGACGTTCACAGGATTTTGAATGTCTGAAGCCCTTGACTGCTGAAGGTGACATTCCTGTTACATTCTCTCCCCCAGCAGCCGAGTCTTTCTTAAATGCATTGGGCAAGTGCAGGACCCACAGTCCTGTATCATGTATTCTCTATTCTCTGTGGGTTAGCTGAAATTCAACGGGGAAATTCAAGTGACTTAATCAAACTAGAATGTGCATTTCTCAACCTTTGATGTCCTTTCACAGCCATACTTAGACTCTTTTTGCCTTTTTAAATTGTTTCTATTATTATAGATTTATATCTGCACTTGATCTGTGACTTTGTAATTTGTAAGAAAACTCTGTAGAAAGCCCTGCCATGACTTCCACGTGGGGTCCCGGGGGTCCTGCTTTTAACATTGCCTTCCAGCTTTGCACCCAGCATGCTGTCTACGTGCTGATTACAGGCAGTTGTACTTTCCTTGGCAGGATTAGGGACACTTGTGGAGGCCGGGCTCACCCCTGAGCAGATAAAGAGACTCTCCCTGAGGTGGCTTCAGCGTAAGCTTTTGGCAGCCACCCAACTCAGTTCTCACGTCTTCTACTCCTACCTTCTCCTCTGTCTTCTTTGAATTTGGATATTCCTTCCCTGGTCCAAGCTCCTATCTTCAGTCAAATGCTGTTTTTACTGCTTCCTAAGGATAGATTATCAAGAAGTTTAACAGCTCGGCCAGCTCAGTGAAACACTGAAGCTAATGGGATGTTGGGTAAGAAGGTTCTGTGCCGTCTCATTGCAAACCGAGCCAGTCAACCACAAGGCTGGCGGGGTGTGATCCTTGTAACGTCTTGTTGTGTCTGTTACTCACGGATGTTGGTAAGGAGCTTCCACAGAGCCAGCTGTGTACCACAGAGACACTGAGAGTGGTGAGTGGACTTTGTATGTGAGCCAATTATGTGTTGGAAGGACTTGGAGTCTGCCCTCCTTCCAGTATGTCACCATCAGCCCACAAATGCATTCAGTGGCAGTGACCCAGCACCATCACCCACTGCTCAGTCTGTCTTAGGATTCCTTATCTTTTTCTCCATCATCATAGAGACTGAAATTTCAGGGGTGTTTTTGTGTAGTGTATTTTTTTTGGGGGGGGGTGATACATTGGGATTTTTTGTTTGCATAGAGTGGGAATGGTGTGCAGTGTGCTCTTACCACAGAACTTAAAGTATGAATAGGCTCCATTCTTCCCCACCACAGGATCCCTAAGAAGCGCTCACTTTGCAAGGTACTCTGAGATTGGCGTTCCTCATTTGTTTGACCTACAGACGTTAAGTGGGTGGCTTGTGTTACACATGGGGAGTAAATTGGAGATGGCAGCTCTAGTCTTTGCGGTCTGTTGATACTTCTAAGTAACTGGATGACTTTTTGGGGATTGACCAGCAGGTGCCATCTCTTGCCCTCTTGATTCACCTGCTTGCCTTAATTTGTCCCTAAATTCAACTAAACTTAAATAAAAAATAAGAGGGGTTGTCAAGGCCATGGTGCCCACTTGGAAGCACTGCCTGGGCTGGAGCGTTGGAGGCATTGGCAGGCAGGTGGGAAGGAGCTCTCACTGCAGTGTTCACAGGCAGGGAGTATGCGTGTGGATGCATTAGAATTGTGTGCTGTTGCCTCTCAAAATAGCCACTAGAAACAGGTGTAACCAGGAAAATACAGGTCTCTGCCCACTGTTATTAACAGACTGTCATTTCCTGACATTGGGTCATGTGGCTTTAGGAGGCTGGTTCTCTATTTTTGTCTTAGTTCAATTTTTTGCATCCTAAAATGCCAAACCCAGTATGTGGCTGGGTAGGTAGAACTGTGCTGCCTGCCTGCCATGGGGGCTGCTCTCCCGCTTTACCCTCACGCCCACAGCTCCCTTGGTTCCGTGGTGGGCACAAGATGTGTTTGGCTATAAAGTCAAACTCTGAATGTATAATCTCTTGGTAGTAACATCTGAGTGGTGTTGCTCCTCCTGCTTTTTAAACAGACTTTTCTTGCCATCTACAAAAAGCTTTTTTCTTTTTCCCAGTATTGCTCCTGTGCTGCCATATTTGCCCTTTTTCCTTACCTTCCTCTCAATTTTCTATCAACCACTGCTCTAAACTTCAGTTTAAAATTAAAATAAAGCCCAAAAAGGCTATTTGCCACCAGGGGGCGTGGTAGGACACGTTGCCAGTGGTCTGGATCGTAGAGCAGAAATTTTGAATTTTAAAAATTAGCCACCCAGGCCAGGTGCAGTGGCTCACACCTGTAATCCCAACACTTTGGGAAGCTGAGGCAGGGGGATCGCTTGAGTCCAGGAGTTCAAGACCAGTCTGGGCAACATGGTGAGACCCCATCTCTCAAAAAAATAATCTAGAAAATAAAGATTAGCCACCCGGTTTTCCTTCTCCAGATGCTAAAGGTGATTCCTGTTTGGTAACAGTATTCCAGAAATGAGGGGAATAACATACCTGATAGGCCCAAGTCAGCTCTGGATAGTACGGTGTCTGGATAGTACAGATTATGTGCTCCTGGGACATGCTTTGTTTATTCCTGCCAGGCCAGAAATTCAGCAGCCCTACCCCCTACCCTGCTTACTGTCACTGTGGGCTAGCCAGGCTCTCTGTTATGTAAGCACAGCAGGGGCAAGGTGGGGAAACCGTGTGTGAGAAAGGAGTGGCGTGGTGGCGGGTGGCCAGTGTAGGGTAGGAAGAGTGGGTACCCAGAGACCACTTGTTCAGAAGTTAACTCTTCTTCCCATCTGGCGTGAGTTACTCCATTGAAGGGTGCCAACAACAGTAAAGTAAAGGAGATAATGTTAGATTATTTTCAGGGATGATTCTCCAAGGTGACAGCAGATCTTAAAACCAAAGAGCTGGGTCCTGGAAGAAGGGGTCTTAGACTATTAACTTCTGATGGAAGGACCAGGGTGGGAGAGACATGAGTTGGGGACTGAGAACATCAGGAGGACCCTGGGTATGAGGACCTTTGGGGATGAGGCTTCACCATCAGCTGGAAGAATCCATGCTGTACACATGTACGTGCCTCTGCAGTTAGTGGTACTGGGATGTTTAGTGTGACATCCTTGAGGGGAGAGCCACTGAAAAGAGGAACATTATTCACATTTTGCTGTATTCTTGTAGCTGTCCGTGTCTTAATAATTCAAGCGTTCAATAGATGTTTGAGGGCCAGGCACTGCTCTTGAGGTGCTGGAGATGTGGTGACAAGCCCAGATCCCTGACAAGCTTAATGGACAGTGAATGTGCAGCTGTTCGCAAGGCCGCTGGTGAGGGCAGGTAGAAGGCAGTGCAGACCTTCTTAAATGCAGGTGTACGGGCTCTACATGAAAGAGCGTAATTAACATCACTGGATACTTAAGGTAGTAACAGCTTCTTCGTAAAGTAGCAAAACTAAGGATCTGTGGAAAAGTTGCTGGGGCAAGTGCTTGACAGACTTACTGGAGACTCAGCCTTGGATTTAGGACTTTAAACAAGAGTTTAGGATGGAACAAAATGTTTGCAGTAAATGTAAAAAATGCTGTGTAGGAGGTAGGCGTATAAGGATGCCCCAGCTGTAGGTTCTTTAGATTGTCTTTAGTATTTCCACAAGTAAGTTGTTTTTGATGCGTGTACTGGTATTGCTGGTAGATTTGGAGTCTGGCAGCTTCTTCCACACTCCCCTCCCACTAGCTTGTGTCAAGGTGTGACATCCTATACAGCAAAACTAGATGAACTTATGCCCCCAGGCAGTGGCTCTCAACTTTCATTGTTAGTTTAGAAATTTTGGTCAGGTGCCAGTAGCTCGCCCCTGTAATCCCAGCACTTTGGGAGGCCATGGCGGGTGGATCACTTGAGGTCAGGAGTTCAAGACCAGCCAGGCCAACATGGGGAAACCCCGTCTCTACTAAAAATACAAAAATTAGCCAGGCGTGGTGGCATGTGCCTGTAGTCCCAGCTACTCGGTCGGCTGAGGCAGGAGAATCACTTGAACCTGAGAGGCAGAGGTTGCAGTGAGCTGAGATCATACCACTGCACTCCAGCCTGGGCAACAGAGCGAGACTCTGTCTTTAAAAAAAAAAAAATTCATCTAAGCCCCAGTGAACCTCCTGGAAGGAGAGCTAGCCCTGGCCAGCTGTCTCCAAGGTGACTGGATGCTGCAGAAGAACTGGGACTGTCTTCTGCGGACTCGTGCCTCCTGGAGTTGTCAGAACACTGTCCTGTGTCTGTCTAGCCATGGGGTCTGCCATGAAATGCCTGTGGATCTGTCACTGGGTTGGTATTTTTAACTTTCACTTGGGTGAAACTTGTTCATCATTTTAAATAAAGCAACATGATTTGGAGTCGTGTTTTTGGCATTGTTTTGTCCTTATTTTCTTTCTTACTCATTTGAAAGTCAATAGAATGTACTTTGTCAGCAGAACAGGACTTTTTAAAAATGTATTTATACTTCAAAACAAAGAATGGGGCACAAAAGTAAGACCCTGGGCCAGAAGCGTAGACGCACACCTATAATCCCAGCTGCCGGAGAGGCTGAGGCCGGAGTGTCACTGGAGCCCAGGATTTCCAGGCTGCAGAAAGCTATGATCATGCCTGTGGATAGCCACTGCACTCCAGCCTGAGCAACATAGTGAGACCCTGTCTTTTTAAAAAAAAAGAAAAAAAAAAAGACCCAGTCTCTTTAAAAAAAAAAAAAGGAAAGAAAGGTCAGCTGGGCGCGAAAGCTTATGCCTGTAATCCCAGCATTTTGGGAGGCTGAGGCGGGCAGATTGCCTGAGGTCAGGAGTTCGAAACCAGTTGGACCAACATGGTGAAACCCTGTCTACTAAAAGTAGAAAAAAAGTAGCCGGGCGTGGTGGTATGTACCTGTAATCCCAGCTACTCAGGCAGGAGTATCACTCGAACCCCGGAGGCGGAGGTTGCAATGAGCCAAGATCGCGCCACTGCACTCCAGCCTGGGCAACAGAGTAAGATTCCGTCTCAAAAAAAAAAGAAAGAAAAAAATAGTAAGGCCCATACACTGACTGAAAGTTCCACAGTGGTCAAAAGCTAGTTGCCCATAAGTAAAGCCTATTTCACTTTTTTTTTTTTTTTTTTTTTCAGACGGAGTCTTGCTCTGTCTCCCAGGCTGGAGTGCAGTGGCGCGATCTCGGCTCACTGCAAGCTCCGCCTCCCGGGTTCACGCCATTCTCCTGCCTCAGCCTCCCGAGTAGCTGGGACTACAGGCGCCCGCCACCGCGCCCGGCTAATTTTTTGTATTTTTAGTAGAGACAGGGTTTCACCGTGGTCTCGATCTCCTGACCTTGTGATCCGCCCACCTCGGCCTCCCAAAGTGCTGGGATTACAGGCGTGAGCCACCACGCCCGGCCACATTTTATAGTTGGGGGCTCTTTTCATCAACCATCACTAAAAGGAAATGCATGGCCCTTTTAATATCATGCAGTGCAGCAGAATTCAGCTCTCCCTGTTGCTAGGGGGTCTTGTTTGTATATCTTCATTTAAAAAGAAGCACTTCATCTCACATCTTGGTTTGTATCACAGATCAGCTCAGGCACTGTAATTTTCCCAAAAAAGTATTAAATGCATCCTCAGCAAAAACTGGAACCGTGTTTTTTTAACATTAGGCCTTATGTTTGGCATGATACCTGACATGCCCGTCTTGTGTTTATTTAAAATAACTAAAGAGTGGGTGGGGCGTGGTAGGAAAATATGTTTTTGGTTACAACGTGTTTATCTCAAAATCCACTGTTCAGCAACAGAGGCCTGGGAGGATCTGGAGAAACAAAAACAATAGCCTTCATTTCCTTCACTGCACCCTCCCACCCTGCAGGCATTCTGGAATTGTGCAAAGAAGAAAGTCCGGTAGGAGGAATAGCGTTGACCAAGGACCTGCAGCTGAATTTCAGGTCTAGGGGCGGGGGAGTCATGTTATGTTACAGGGAGGCCTGTGTTGAAGACTGCTGGCCTCAGCGCCGAAGGGAGCATTCACTGGCTGGGATCTGGAGATGTCCTCTGTGAAAGTGCATTAAGGCAACCCTAAGGATTAAAAGCAACTCCTGACATGCCTATAAAAACGGCAGTGGCTAAACGTAATCCGGCTTTTCATTGTTTTACAAGGCAATCCAGGCTGCTGTTTCCATGAATCTTCCCGGGTTTGCTTGTCTCTCTGCATTCCCCAACTAGCACTGATATTTCCAAAATGCTCTAAGACGAACTGCTGTACCAAGGCCAAAGATGACAACCTCAGGGCACATCATACAGTATTTCAAATTGAACCTGAGTTAAATGTGCCCCAAAGCGTCAAGGCTGCCCAGGCTGGGCAGGGGTTGGCTCTCCTGTGCCTCCCAGGGGGTCAGGGCTCTGCCCCCCTACACCCCCGCTTACAGCCTGTGCGTCACCACCGGGGGCCGGAGGATGCCAGGGGCGGGGCGCGGGCGATGGGGGCTCCGCCCCGGGGCGGGGCGCGGCGACCGGGCGCGGCGGGCTCCCTCGGGGTCCCAGCGGGCCGGCACTCGGCGGCCGCGGCGCAATGGAGGCGCCGGCCGAGCTGCTGGCCGCGCTGCCTGCGCTGGCCACCGCGCTGGCCCTTCTGCTCGCCTGGCTGCTGGTGCGACGTGGGGCGACCGCGAGCCCGGAGCCTGCCTGCACGCCCCCGGAACCGGCGCCCCCGGCCGAGGCCACCAGGGCCCCGGTGCCGTCCCGCCCCTGCGCCCCCGAGCCGGCGGCCGCGCCCGCGGGGCCGGAGGAGCCTGGGGAGCCCGCGGGGCCGGGGGAGCCCGGGGAGCCCGCGGGACCGGGGGAGCCCGAAGGGCCAGGGGATCCCGCGGTGGCGTCAGCGGAGGCGGAGGAGCAGGCGGCGGAGGCGAGGCAGGTACGCACCGGGGCCCCCGCGGCCCTCTCCCCACCCCCGGGGCTCCAGCCGCCGCTGCCGTTCCCCGCCGAGCCAGGGAGCGGGACCGCAGCCTCCAGCCCAGGCTGCCCCCGGGAAGCGCAGAACCCTCGGCCCACAGGAAATGCAGGTCCCGCCATGCTAAGCCGCAGGCCCGCAAAGTCGCCGCCCTCCCCCAGAAAGTGTGGCGAGGGGCGACCCCGAAGGAGTTTGTTTGGAGGTGTTTTGCTCTCCCCTCACCTCGGCCTCTCCCAGCCCAGGACGTGCTCCGCAGCTGCTGGCTCCCAGGCCTCGCGACCGGGACTTGGAATTTTGCTCCACACCCACCTCTGACCCCTCCCGCTCACCGGTTCCCAAATCCACGTGCCTATGGCTTATTTCAAGGCCTGCCATGAGAGTTATCTTGATGTTTAAAAAGTAGTACTTTCGGGGGGCGAGGGAGGAAAGCTGGCTTTTCTTTTTCAGTCAATTTGAAGTCAAGATTTCAGAGTCAGTGCTGTGGTGTTTTGTGAAGCCCGCAGGCTGAGACTGAAAGAAAAGGCACCCAAGCCCAGCAGTTCTTTTTATTGTCGTTTTAAGCTACACATCTCCTAACACCCTCCTACCCCCACTCCCCCGGGTTGTAGGTAAGCTGGGCCTGGAGTGAAGATGCAGGATAAAGCCCTCCTGGAACACCAGTGAGCACCCCAAAGCGGCCCTCCCTGCCTCTGCCCCAGGCCTCCCACCATGCTGTCCGTCAGCTCGGGCCCTGGCCACCCTGTCCTGCCTGTGGATATCAGGAGAGGAATCGGATTTCCCTCATCCACTCATCCTAGTCCCTACACTCTAGACTGGAAACCTGTGTGCTCATGTTCCCAGGAGTTCACCACGCTTGGCTGGTCCAGGCCACCGCCATGGTCTCCAGTCGGATTGTAATCCCTTGTTCTTACCCCTGAGCTCCTTTTCTTGGAAGGGAGGAGAGCCGGGATGCGCGTTGTCTGCGTGCCTACGTGCCCACTCTGTCCTGTGCTGGACACAATGGTTTACCCTGGAGAGAAGCCCTTCGGGGGAGGAGGAGGCAGCCAGGCTGTGCTCAGAGGCATTTCTCTTTGCTGAGTAAGTGCGCCAGACCCCATCTGAGCAGGCGCTTTGCTTGACAAGTGGGTGACTAATTGTGTCATTAGAGAGGATTCTAACCAGCCCGTTTAATGGGGTGGGGGGTCGGGGGGCAGGCCCTGCCGTTCTTGCTTGAGGTGGGCTTGCAGACCTCAGGGGGTGATGGTGGAGGGGAGCGGTTCGGACATGTGCTGACCTGTTGTGTTTGCTCCCATATTTGGGATTCCTGCCTCCGTCGAGGTCTCGCGGGAGCAGGAGAGGCCTTTAGACAGTTCTGGAGCCGTCATGCACCCTCAGTCAGCCAGCCCTGGCCTTACAGGGCTGTCCCTTTATCACCCACACCAGGCTCTGGACTGAAGTGCAGAATGTCCTTTAGCAGCGCCCTGTCTTATCTCAATCCTGTGGGGCACGACGCTTAAAGAACTTTATACAAGGCTTTCAGCTCTCAGCACATGATACCTACAGGAATAGGTTCATTGGTGTTTAAATAGGGCCCCTCGCATAATTTTCCTTTGTCTGGGCGAATGCACGTCCTCTGAGGCTGAATGGGTGCTCTGAAGGACAAGGCAGTACAGGGGTTCACATGCCAGCCAGCCCCCATGACATAGGTGCCGGTGAGGATGACTTGAGGCTTGTGTTTGTCCTCCCAGTAAAGCACCCTCCAGAGGGAACCCACCCAACAGGAGAATTCAACTGAAGTTAGTGTCCTTCCCCTTTGGGCTCCAGTCCCCAGGCCTTCCTGAGCTGGCCAAAGCTCCTCCAAAACTCCTGCCTGCAAACATTAAGCCAGGTGCTGTGGGGACACAGATACTGTGTCATCCCACCCACTCCCAGTGGTGGCATTACTTAAGAAGCTGCTTAGAAATTGTCTTAATGAGCTTCAAGTCAGTGACAAGTAAAAAAAAAAAAAAAAAAAGAAAGGAAAAGAAATTGTCCTGAAGTGTACTCCAGCATTTCCAAGAGCTTCCAGTGCTTTCTTCTGATGATCACACTGCTGGGGCTTGGAGGACAGATCAGGAAAAAGGCCCCCTGGGGAAGACAACTCAAATCGGGGTTGGGAAGTGGGGCGATGCCCTCTGCCAGCCTCCTTCTTCCTCCCTCCCTCCCTCCCTAAGCAAACCCCATCAACAGCAAGGGAGGAGGGTAACACCACCTGCTGTTAGCTCGGAAGTCACTGCCCTGGGGAGCAGCGTGTAACTCACCTCTCCCCTCCCTCTTCATTTTCCATTAACTGCTTCCTTTCTAATCCAGTCCTCTCCCTTCCCAAGGATGCCTGGGCTGGCTGGGGCAGCTGCTGCCACCGACTACAAAGCTGATTATTGAGAGGATCTCTCACCCCGGGAAGCAGCCTTCAGCTGCTGTTG